AACATCATTAAAATCAACCACCCAGGCTAACCTGTTGTGTGGTGAACATTGTATCTGATCATCACTTAGGGAATTGCTTGGGTTCCACTTTGCCCTGCAGGCGTCCATGTCTGTGGAGAGCTATGCAGTGAGAAAATCATATCAGAACCCCTTCATTCCATTGTATGATGGGACTTTTGGAAGGAAGGGTGTCACCTGAAGGTCACGTTTTCTGTGCCAGAGCTCACCTTTGGCCAGAGATTTTGGCAGAATATACCCTTGTGAGCATGCTTTGAGCGTGTCTGATGTGCCATCTAGTGGTTAAGTGAACCTAACCTTAATGAAAAGAAAAATGGCTTTTGCCTGCCCCTTCTTCCCTGTATTCTCTACCACTTGTTAAACAAAAAGAGAGGGTTGCTGCTGTAGGGTAACTATTATTTGGGAAAGGAAAAAAAAAACATTTTCCTAGAAGCAGTATGTTGAACACAAATGATTATGGAGGGGAAGGGAAATCCACTAAAACCACAGTAATTACACAAACCAGAAGTTGGAATTGACCATGTACATATTTGTTTGTTTAATCCAGAGAACTTTCCTCAATTTTATTTCATTAACTTTTGGCTCACCCTTGTAGTATAGTGCACAGATCTTCAAGATACAGCTTACTACATGTTCACGTTTGTAAACTTTTAAATATGTACAACCCATCATTCATTACCCAGATCAAGACATGAACGTTTCCAGTATTCCAGCAGACTCCCTCTTCTCCTGCCCTGGTCAGTCCTCGCTCAGAGACAACTTCTCTTCTTCAATCTATCACCATAGCTCCATAATGGTATCATTATAACACATATTTACAGGCCTAACTTCCCAGAAGGAATAAGACCCTGTCATCACCATTTTAATAGTTTGTCCGAAATGGGGCAGTTTTCTCAGAACATTCTGAGTTTACTGTTTCTTCATAGTACAGGTGTCATACGTTTTCTCTCTCCCAGTATGTTGTTTTTCTTACCAAGGTTTAGATGGAGCCATATACCTATTTGATGCACTGATTATATTTTCCCAAGTATCTCTGCAAGCAGCCGAGTCAGTTTTCAAAGAAATCACATTACTTTTGAGTGGCATCTCCTAGGAGCCAGTGATTATCCCAGCAGAGCTGATGCATTCTAAGACAGCATTTATGAAATTAATGTGAGTGTTATGTCACCAGCCGCTGCTCTGACACCCTGCTCAAATTAAGCCATGCACACCATCAGTGCTGGAGTCATAATGGTGAGAAAGGCTTCCAGCCTGCAGTCTGTGAAGGCTACTTGGTACTACATAGGCTAATGCAATCAGTGTTGCTGCTTATACCAAACCTCTTCCCGTTCAAACAAAACTAAACTCCGTGTCAGAATGGATAGGCATATGCTGAGAAGCAGAGCTAGTTTTGAGGTGCAAGTATTATTATTCCAGAGCTTTGTGTACTTCCTTATTTCATTGCTGGATAAACAAACTCAGCATCACCCAACAAACATCTAGTGAATATGTTATTGCCAGGAGTTCAGCAAGTAGCTGAAAATAGAAAAATGTAAGGTTGTAGGTTGTACCCCATGGCCATGGAGCTGACCCTTTAGACCTGATGGTCCCTGGTCTGCAGCATGTCATTTAAAGAGACCAGTGCCACTTAGAATAAACAAGGTAACTGTTCTAGTTTGCCATCAATTGCCATGACAAAACATCTGACTAATACCAACTTGGGGAGGAAAGGGTTTATTTAGCGTACATCTCCCAGGTCACAATTCATCACTGAGGTAGCCCAAGGTAGGAACTCAGGGCAGGAACCTGGAGGCAGGAGCTGGAGCACAGGCCATGGAAGAATGCTGCTTACTGGCTTGCTCCCATGGCCCATGGGGCATAGTAACAATATAGATATCTCAATCCCCATCAAAAATAATTTGCATTTTTCTAATTATTTGTCATGAATTTATAAAATAGAAGAATCCACCAAAGAAAATCCTACTTATATAATACCTTTGGTTCTCTTATGTTTCTCTCTCTCTCTCTCTCTCTCTCTCTCTCTCTCTCTCTCTCTCTCTCTCTCTGTATTTTTTCCTCTATCATTAGAAATTCTTGAAATAAGTCTCAGGGCTAAGGATATAACACAATAGTAGACATTGACACTTGGCATGTGCAAGGCCTGTGGTTCACTCTCTAGAAATTCAATAATAATAATATTGTTTTAATACTTTGATTGATCTCACAAATTTCTGGAATAGGATCAAAAACTGATTTTTTGACTACTCTATGTTCTTTAAAAAATATTTATAGACCACAAAATATTTGAAATAGAATCTTTAATTTCCTGCCATATTCAGTGACCAGAACTTATAGAATAGTGTTAAATAATAGTGGTAAGGGCTGAAAAGATGACTCAGCAGTTAAGAGCACTGGTAACCCTTCAGAGGTCCTGAATTCAGTTCCCAGCACCTACATAGCAGCTAACTACCATCCAGAATCCAGTTCTAGGGGATCTGACATCCTCTTCTGGCCTTCACAGGCATTGCATGCACAGGTGCACTTGCATACATGCAGACACTCACATGCATAAAATGAAATAAATAAATCAAAAACTTTGAAAAACAGTGTTAAAACTGACTGTCCAAAGTTTGTTCCTGATTTTAAAGGAAGTAACTGTAGTGGTTATTAACATGCTCATATGAAAGGGTTAAAAATTATAGTAAGGCCTTTGGGTTCTAATTTTTAAACCTCAGCAGTGGTGAATTGGACATTATCCAATGCCTTTGGTGCTACTGAAATAATTAGGTTTGTGCCCATTTGGCCTATGGATGATATATTATAGTAATAGATTTTCTAGTATTAGTCCTGATAGTAATGTATCATATGGTAGTATACTTTTGGTGTTACCAAATTCAGTCCTTTACTGTTGTTTTTAGGATTTGGGCATATGTGTTTATTCTAAATTGTTCTTTCGAGAGAACTAATAAGGCAAGACTAATGACAAAAGGTTAGATTCATAGTCTATAACAGAGTTGTTGAAACTGGGAATAGGGTTCCACATGTCTATTTTCATCCTTTTTTCCTCTTATCCCACTGGCCACAATAAATTTCCTCTTGTGAATTCATGAAGTGCTTTTCTCGACCTCTCTGCATTCATCATACCATTTCTATGCTAAAACTCTATGTATTTTCTTTCTATCCTTGTGTGAGTGGCCCTTTAAAATCAGGAAATTCATGAATGTTCCATCTACCCCCTTAGCCATTTAAGGTTGCCCATCAAATCCCTCCTATACAATTAACATTTAAGGTTGCCCATCAAATCCCTCCTATACAATTAACATTTAAGGTTGCCCATCAAATCCCTTGTATACAATCTGATTGATCCCAAGCAAAGTACTGCAGGGATGGGAAATGTGGCACTGTGTCAGCTGAGAGACGGGAAGGAAGAGTGATTCTGAAATCATGTGTGTGGGTGCTGCACAGTTCTGAAAAGGGCCAGAATACAAGTCAGCTTCCAAGGACTTAAGAGCAGACAGAGGCAGACCAGAGCAAAGCACTGCTTCACATGGGGCTGGAGAGATGGCTCAGTGGTTAAGAGCGCTGGTTGTTCTTACAGAGGACTCGGGTTCAAATCCGAGCACCCACATGGCAGCTAACAACCATCCATAACTCCAGTTCCAGGGTATTCGACAACCTCTTCTGTCCTCCGTGGGCATTGCATGACACAACATGAGTGCACTTACAAGCAGGCATAACACGCATGCATACACATAGAATAAAAATAAATACAAAATTTAAAAAAGCATGTCTCTACATAGCTGCTGCCTTCTGATTCTAATTTTTTATTATAGAGAGCCAGTTGCTTTCTTTTTTTCATAACTCAAGTATATGCTCTGACATACTCATAAAACTAAATACGTTGCTTATGCTCTAATCATTTTTGTTAAAAACAAATCTTTCAAATTCTCATTTCAAGGCATCATTTCAAATTGATATTTTTCAATTGCCAGTTATTTCCCATGGGAAGACTTAGAAAATTAAGAGCCCTCTCATGCCTCCCTCCCCAACAGGCAGATTCAAACATGTGGTTTGCACTAAACTAATGTTTCTGGAGTTGGTCTTTTTTTCATGCAGTGTAATAAATGCTATTGAGTGATGGTCTTCACACTTACTGAAAGGCCAAAAGCAACTCAAAGGCAATGCAGGCCTTTTGATAAGTATAGAATCAAATCCAAAAAAAGAATGAAATTAATGGAAAAATGATAAATAACAAAAGTGTGAAGGAGAAATCATATAGATTCATGCATTTCACTACTAGATGTAGAGCCAAAAAATGTGTACTGGAAGAGATATTTGTAGGCCCAAACTCTCAGCAGCATTACTTACAATATCGAAAGAGGGAAGCAAGCCAGGTGTCTGCTGGTGGACGAATGTGTGTATAAGCAAAGTGTGGCATATACATATATTTTAGCGTTTAGCAGGAAAGAAATCCTGACACTGGTGCAACATGGATAAACCTTAAGGATTTTATGCTAGGGAGAAGGAGACATTTACAGAAGGACAGCTCTTTTATGGATCCACCCATATGCACACAAATACCTTAGTAAGTCCAGATCACAGAGGCAGAAAATAGAATGGAGGTTGCTAGGGACAAAGAAGATGGGGAGTTAATGTTTGATGGTTCCAGAGCCTCAGTTTCTGAAGATGGATGGTGGTAATTAGTACCTAATAATGTAGTTCTAATAATGTACACAGTGCCAGTAAGGTGTGCATTTACAATAGTGACGATGGTAAATTGTATGTTATGTTGATTTTATCACAGGTTGAAGTATACTACTCATGATGGGATTATTGCAGGTCACACCACCAGGGTACTACCTGCTTAGCTTTCAGGCTGTCTCCCCAAGAAGGGAGGGGGCAGTTGAGGGGACGATTGACCTTGTGCTCCCTGTAGTCACTAGGACTCCTTTGAGTGCAAAATGAAATGCTGTGTTCAGTAATTACTTTCTTCTTCTCCTCAGGGTGTTAAATACCACATTATTTGAAAGTTGGGAAATCGTTGGACCTTACCCTTCCTGGTGGGTTTTTAACCTGCTGCTGTTGCTAATACAAGGGTTGAACTGCTTCTGGTCTTACTTGATTGTAAAAATAGCTTGCAAAGCTGTTTCAAAAGGCAAGGTAAGCCAAAATTCACCTTTTCTAGTATGTCCCAGAAATTTCAGGGTATTTTTGGCTCCTCTGAAATAAGTGTTATTTCTGATTTCATCAAAATCAATGTTATTTCTTCAAATTGGGCAAAACCACCTAGAAACATAAACCAAATTGTTTTCCCTTTGGTTCATTTTTAAAGCCTTTCTGCTGCTTTGTGGGTGATGATGCCCAGTGATCTGCATTTATGATTTTGGATATAATAATGATATATTATTTGTTGTGTTCTTTTTCTCCTTGGTCTCCCTTGATCCTTCTCTTATTATATTTATACTGAGCATAAATTTAACTTCTTCCCTTTCATGAGAAGGGTTGCTTGCTGTCATATACACTTTTAAACAAGCCTGTCTCTCAGATTGACTAAATACATTCATAACTTTTCCAACAAAATTTACTCAAGCCTCTTTGTTTAAAAGTGGACTTATGGGACTGACTTAAATCAGTCTTGCTGGGCATTAGCCCCTTTGCCTAGATCAGTGGCATTTCTAGAACATTCTCCATGATGTTTTCTTACTGTTTGTTCTCTTCCTCCTGCCACCCTGGAAGGCTGGGAAGTGGAACCCTTTACATGTAAGTTTCTTATCCTTTCTCTTTCCTGTCATGGCTGACACTTGCCTGCTGGAGGCTGCTCAAGTGCTTTGTTTCACATGTACTGTTCTGTCTAACCTGTTGGCACTGACTGGAGGCTTTGTGGCAGATGTAGTTACCACAAGCACAAAAGATACTAGGAATAGCTGTCATCTCCCTTTTGCTTGAGCACGTAGTCTGCCAGACTTTGCATGGGCCAACAGGAAACAAATTCTTATTGGTGTTTAACATGTTGGCTAAGGTATAGAAGTAGATCAAATGTGAATTAAGAGAAACAAAACTAGTCAGGGAGTTGTTGGGGAGATGATCCATGCAGTGCAGAAGGGAGCCCAGGGCTTCAGGTATTTTCCTGATCAGAAGAAGCCCAAGGTACACTTGACCATCTGTCCTCAGCAAAGTCCACAGAACTGGACCCTTCCACAAAAGAAATCTGGGTGCCTGGTCATGGTCTGTGAAGCCAGTACTCGGTATCAGCACCTATATAAATCCAACATGTTTTGTTTTATTTTTTGTCTTTTTGAGACAAGGTCCCCCTATAGCCACAGCTAGCCTGGAACACACTGTGTAGGCCAGGCTGGCCTCAGTCTCAGAGATCTGCCTGTCTATGCCTCCCGAGTGCTGGGATTAAAGGTATGTGCCACTATGCCAGCAAATCCACCATATTTTGACCAATTCATTTTTCTCTGTGACCTCTTATACTTTAAAATGAATGCACATTTCTATTCAAAATGTTCTTGTCCTCATTTGGACACAAATTAAATCAACATGCACAGCACTGGCAGTATGATAATAAAGATGCAAGGGCGCAGTAGGTTAGAGTACTTGTGTCCTATGGCTTTGCTGTTTCCAGTCTCTTCCCTCTACCTGTTGCTCCTTTGTCTTTATGAAGAAATGATCGTTCATTACATCCCAGGTCTGTGGCTTCAGAATTCCCTATCTGCACTGCTGCTCTTGCCTAGCACAATAAGATATTCATCTTTCCCTGGGTTCTTTTTCCTGTGTGTTATTTTTGTATTCTAAATTGTCTTTTTTCCTCAACAGTAACATCACTATGAATTTTTCCAAATGCAATTTAAAGTAATCTTACTAGGCATGCAAATTAATACTCCCTGCATCTGAAGTTCCGTGTAAGCAACTTCATTTGTGACTAATAGACCTATAAATAGTGGAGCTTTGCAACAATAATGTCTTCATGACCCAGTGTCTTTAAATTGAAATATCCTTATCCCCTAGTCATATTGTTATCTCAGTGTCTAAGGGTTGTTGGGTTTGGGGCTTTGGGTTTGGGTTTGGGTTTGGGTTTTTGTTCTGTTTTGTTTTGTTTTTTAGGTAGTCTTTGTAAATTCAGTCTCATCTGAAAGGGCATTGAGATGAGGACCGTTTGTATGCTGTTTAGTCTATCACTGGTGAGATGGAGTGATAGTCCTCAGCTTTTACTTTGTCCTGTCTTGCACCCACCCACTTACAAAAGATGGTGTGCTCGTGAGGGCTTCTCAAGTAATATATCCCTTAGTTGTCAAGTTGATCTGATAGTGGCACAGAGAAAATTTGATGTGGAGAGAGTCCCCAGCAATTCTGAACTACTTCCTGGCAACTCGGACAATCTCTCAACCCATTCCCTAAAGAATCACAGAAGACCACATTGGGAAGATAATCTATGAAGCTAAGCCAACAAGTCCCTTTGGCCACCCCACTTAATAATTAGGTAAACAAAGCTGAGCATGGTGGTGCATGCCTGTAATCTCAGCACTTGGGAGGCTGAGGCAGGAGAATTGCTACAAGTCTGCAGCCAACCTGGGCCACACAGGGAGATCCCATCTCAAAAAAAAAAAGTGACTGATTAAGTAAACAAGGCATTTACTTGAAACTCTTAAGACCTCCTAGGTAAAAACACTGACCATAATTTAGATTAACAGAGAAGCTGGTCCAAATTACTTTAATTTTAAAACAATAGAGTTTTTCCTTGCTAGACAGTAGGACTTTTTTCACCCTTGTTAACATATAGACTTATATCCTGGCCTGTTATTTTTCTCTCTTCATTAGTTCATGAGACTGAATGAAGGACTGAAGAAAATTGATATGATAATAACCAGATTTTAAGGATCTGGTCAACAGCTCTCTCCCTGGAGAAAGTTTAAGCCATACCTCACTTAGAAGGTTTTGAGCCATACCTCACTTAGAAGGTTTTGAGCCATACCTCACTTAGAAGGTTTTGGTGCCACTTTTATGTCACACACAAAACAAAATTTCTAATTATTTTTAGCTGAAAAGGAAAGGAAATTAAATTTTAAAACAATGAATTACAGTGCCAGATATGATCTGTTTTAATGATCTGAGCTAGTGTGTGGATAGTTCTATTAGTATGCTTAATTGAGGGTTGACCTAATGTGGTCATTAGAGAGTAAATTGACACATTTGCACCCAATTCCTATAATATCATCCTAGTAGCATAGATGCTGTAGGAATGTAAGAGTGGGATTCAAAGTCTAGACATTGTCCGTAGTGAAAGATACTTTTCAAGCTCTGTGATGCCTAAACTCACTTATGTTCTTCATCACCAACTTTATCATACAAATTATATCTCTCCAGAGAAGGCAAGCTCACTACCATGGCAACGTTCTTATCTTCTTTGATTTTTCAATATGTGGATAAGTTTACCTTCATGTATGGCTGCGTGTGCCCCAGAGCCTGCCATACCTTGCTGGTCTTAGGGGCTGGTTACATTTTCATTCTTATATTCCACAGGTGTCCAAGGATGATCGAAGTGATATTGAATCTAGCTCAGATGACGAGGATGCAGAACCTCCATGGAAGAACCCCCACACCACTACAACCACCAATGGGACCAGCGGCTCCAATGGTTATCTCCTCACTGGTCCGTGTTCCATGGATGACTAATTACTCAAAACTATGAGTCCCAAACAAAGTGAACTGTTTGTTCCTGGAAGTATTTAATAAGTTGCAAATGCAGTTCCTTTCACAATATCTCATCACCAGAAACAAAAATTAGGATCATCAGAGCATTCTGTATAGTGTACTGCCATTTGTCCTGTCTGTGAATGAAGAAGAAATACCATTCTCTATATGTAGGCATGCTGTATGTGATTGACACAAGGGAACAGTATTTGCATTTTTACTGTCTTAGAATATTATTTATTTTTTGTATTTGTTTGTAAATCTGTGGACAAATGAGGATTTGCTCTCTCCTTTTATTCTCTGGGCTCATGACTGACCACGAAGGAGATGCTCCATCGCTATTCCCCTTTCTCTTGCAGTAGTCCAGTATAGCATCAGCTTAGTTTATCATTTAGAGCAAGCAAAACCCTGTACAAGAGCCTCACACAGCTCCACCTAGGCTGGCTTTCTTTGTGTTGCTGTGCCCATTGTACAGTTTCTCATATAGTCAGTGACCATTCTCCCAGTAATGTCTGAATGAACTAGGTGTTTTGTCACTCTTCGTGGTCAGTTAGCAGTTCAAATCAAAGAGGATGAGTATTAGGAGACTTTTAAATTTTATATAAAATTGCTTTGGAATAGAGTACGTTTCTTGTGCACCAAGTTAAGATTTCTTTGGAGTGGTGGGTAGTTGGGAGTTAACCTTGTTGATTACAAAATTGTTTTACCCTCTCTGATGAGACCAGTGTTCTGAATCTGAAGGAAGGTAATTTGCTTAAGCTCACAGACACAAAATAACCTTAATATTTGGAATAGAGATAACAACTGATTTCAACCAGATTTTGCCATTACTCCTTTAATGAGCCAAGTCTTCTGTCATACCATGTAAAAAAGAAGATAAGAGTATTTGAGACAGAAAAAGGATGTTTCGAGAGTTGGCAAAGACTACCTTCAGTGCAAAGCACTTTATTGCAACTAGCTTTCAAGAAAAAGCCCTGTCTAGTATTTGTCTTGTTTTTAGTTTGCTGAGCAAAATAAAGCCAATGTGAGAAAGACCCATTTACCCATTGCTTCTCTCCTTAGATGTAGCCTGCAATGACTTCCTCGTTGCTGGAAACAGCAGCCTTGCACCCCAAGTTCTTTTATTTACTGCTCTGACTACTCATGTGGTATCTAAGAATTTTTGTTCAAGTGGAGCTATTTCCAGAAAAACAACAAAAATTCTCATGGGCGATGGCAATATGGGTAGTGAGAAAAATTTGAATAGCAAGTGTCTGCAGGTTTCCTGCTCCACAGTATTACTGGCCTATGAAAGCCAAGGTTTTAATCTCATCTCATCTTTAGTAAAAGAGAATGAAATAGGGTTATAAATGCCTATAAATCAAACGTCACCTAAAACAGGAATCCAAAACAAGAGTGCAATAATATAAATATGTGAACCAGGGCACTGGGCAGCCAGCAGCAAAGTACTAGAGTGCATATCTGTCCTACTTAAAGCCATTCGCATTTGACTGTTTGGACAATAGGATCTGTGCACCCATACTTTGAAGCCTATGAGTTAATAGTTAAAACTCCCAAAGAACTCTCACTGCATTATTAGATCTTTCTCCACCCAGTTGCAAAACAGTATTTCTTGGTATGGTCCAGATAATAATTAAAGAAGCTTGGGAAAATGTCTCCTAGTTAATGTAGAAGACACTGCAACCAATGATATGTGTAGAGCCTTACTGCTGCATTTACCAAAATACATGTCTAAGAGAGAAACTTGGAAATGGTTGCATTTATGAGACCAGTCATAAAACACCAAAGGCATTGTTAGTCATCAGAACATCTGCTCGAGTGCAGATGTCTAAGAAGTAATAGCAAGCAAATTGAAACAGTTTTGAGAAGGTGAAGCTGCCTTGTCTAAATATGGACCATAGTCACTCACTTTAGTATTTGGACAGATCCTCCCCAGTGGGTGAAATCAACTTGAAAACCATTGTATATTTGAGTTTGAACCATATGACACTCTTTAGCACAAAAGAATAACTTCGAGATCAGTTTGTAAATTGAAAAGTAATATGTTAAATGTAGTTTGGTTCCGTCTGTACAAAAGGCAGGTCTTTTCCACAGAAAGAGGACCAGAAATACTGTTTCTGACTGATCTCATTAACTTGACATGGCCTTCTACATGTCTATACATTTTTGTTTCATTTTACAATCTAAAGAAAATAATTCTGTTTTGTTAGTTGAAATGGAGTTTACAGGCTTTTTCTGGTATAGAATATTAATATCTGTCTACTGGTCTCCCATAGTAGCCAGAGAAGACAAGAGAGGTTACTGTGTAAGGAATCTTATCCGCCTGTGCCGGGCCAGAGCTTTCAGGGGTGTGATTTGTAAATTCAGCTGTAGGTTAGTTCAGCGTGCTGTTCTTGTTAATTAGCTTAGCCTGTGGTAATGTCTCCTTCCTCCTGATCACATTCAAATTTCCCAGGGTACCAAGGTATAGATAGAAAGGACTCTAGAAAAAGTAATCTTTGATCCCCAATGTTATAACTTATCTAGATTTAGTGTGGGGGGGAGTAGGAAATCAAGTAGAATTTGGCCTTGAGTCAATAAATGATATAAACGTGTGTGGTATATGTATGTATATGTATGTTTTTCCAAAAACTGTTAAAACCAAAATGTCACTGATTCGTCATTATCCATTATCCATTCTTGACATTTAAAAAAAAAAAAAGAAAATACCCACCATGTACAACAGAAGCTTCCCTTCTTTGCTTCCCACCAGTTGAGTGTGGTAAAACCCAGGTCCTAGAGCACCCGATGTCACACACAAGACAAACACAGTTCACTATCCCAAATTCAGTCCTGTGAATGTTGAGTGTAGAGAAGTGACTATCAGTATTGTGGATTATTCAAATGTTGTAAAAATGCAAATGATTTGACATTTAAACCCAGGATTCAAATGCTGCTGAACTGTCAGACAGATGCTGTCCTCAACTACCGTCAGATAGTACCACAAACATCTGACAGAAGATGAACAAGGCAGAAAAGGCAGGGAACAACCAAGATCAGATGCTCCAAATGTCACGTTCCTCTCTGAGCACAGGCGTGCACTGTGTAACAGTGCTGCAGTCAGGCATGGGTTGAACATGCTGTGGTCCCAAAAGAGACTAGCACAGACTCGGTGTAGGGCAGGCTGTTCCATCTGGTTGTGTGTAAATACACTCAGTAAGGTCCACAGGATAACAAAATCAGTTAACAACTCTTCTCAGAATGTCTTTGACATTACGTGACATATGACTGTACTTGACAGAGTTTGGATTTGAGCAAAAGTTTGAATTTGCCTTCAAGTCAGGCAGAATGGGTCTCAAGCTTCCTCCTTGCATTCAAATCTCATTGTTATTTGGGCTAAGTAAAAATAAGACTTCATTTCCATTTCCCTGAGTCTTTGCTAACGAGTTCTTCAGAGAGAATTTGTGGGCAGCCATAACTGCCCCCAATCCATTGAGCATTTTGTATTAGTAGCCATTTGGGGCGTGGAGGCTGATGCCAAAGTTGCCTGAATATTTTGACTATTTCTCTTTGAAATATCATTTCAAGTATAAAAAATATACAGAATAACTCCAACATTGTTAAGCGGTTCTGTTTACCAGTGTGTAAGATAATGTCATTACATCCAGAGATGCTTCAAGAAATCCTTTGGAAATAAAAGGCTAAATGTTTACATTTCATATGATATTTGAGGTAGTAAGATTCTAGTTTGCTTACTTTTCTTTTTTATCTTTGGCTGATTTCTGCTTTGGAGATAAGTAATTTTAACCCAAAATGTTTCTAACATCCAAGTAAGAAAAAGTCAAAAAAGATCAAAGTCAGCCTGATAGGAAAGTGATCTCTTTGTGCTTCCACATTCTTGTGTGGAGAAAAAGAAGTGCGGAGAGCTCTGATTATTGACTTGCCATCCAGCATGCTGTCCATGGCGGCAATGATCCGAAACAGTTCAGGAATCACAAATGGTTCTTGAAGAAAGTGCAGCAAGATTTTTTTCTTAAATATTTTGTCCCTAGAATCAGCTTTTCTTGGTGAGTTGAAATTGTGCCATTCTCAAATTGCCACAGAGTCATTAGCACCACTGCACCAGTCAGGTTCTAGTACACGCAGCAGTGGGCCAGAGAAGGACCATGTGGTTTGCCTTTGTGTGCATAGCACTGCTTGCCCCTAGGAGGCACACAGCTGAGGAGCCCTGGCCACTCTGTTGCTGAAACAACTCTAGTCAATATTCACACGTAGCCACTTTCATGAAGAAAATTATATTGAAGAATATAAATAATCATAAATGTTGCTAATGAAATATGGAGACAGCCAGAGAAGAACCTTAGTCTTTTCAGGTATTTGCAGCTTGAGTTCCACTCAAGCCTTTAAAAGGAATACATTGGCAAACAGTATATTAAGACCAACCCTGTCAAGTCAAAGAAATTGAAAAAGCATCTGTTGCCAGATGACATTTGGAGTCTACAGGAAATTGAGTGTTCTCAGGATGACCCAGGAAGTGATGAGAGGGCCCCATTAGCCTAGGGTGTGTCTGTACCTCATTCACTCACAGTCCTTCTAGACTTCTAGAACACTCTAATAAAAGGAAACCAGAATGTTGACATTCTTCTGTTTTCCGTTCACCAGTAACCTTTAGATCAGCTGTGTGCTCACACTTCTTCCTCTGCCTGGTCGCATTGCCCGTGTATTGTGTTTACTTAACACTAGTCCACAACTGCTTGGTTTCCTGTGTTGTTGTGTGTTACATGGCCTGGGAACCAAGGAACAGCAGTTGTTACCTCTGCTGTGTTCAGAGAAAATTTTTTTCATTTATATTTTTGTCCTTTTTATCTACAGTAATTGTTATAAACTATCTGTAAAATTGCCCTTAACACGAAGAGTTTTTTTTTAATATTAACTGTAAAAATAATTATTACAATAACAACAAAAGCTCTGGAACAGGAACAATTATATGATAATTCTCGAGCTTTAGCTCAAAACTTCATTAATATAAATGTGGGAAACACACTCGGGCTTGATTTCCCTTAAGCTGGCAATTTTCACCTCTTCTTTGCCTACATTGTAGTTGTTTACCTTCATGGTCATTTGCTATCGTGGAAAAGGGTACCAGTTAGTTTGGGGATTTGATTTTTTTTTTTCTTTTTCAATTTTCAATGAGAAATAGCTGACAAGACCTTATTTGTTTTAAGACGATTCAGTGCTTAAACATCTCTGTCAGAAATGGAATGATGTACCATTAGCTGATTAGAATTACTTCATGTACTGTTACTGTGTTTTGCTGATTATTATATGGAAATATAATTATTCATTCTTGATCTCTGGAAGTAATTGTTATTATGAGGATCATTTTACTTTGGAAACAGTTTCATAATAAAGATAAGTATTAAGAATGCAGTGTGAGTGTCCTTTACTGTACACATTACCATCTGTGCTGGGAATATATCACACATTCCTGGGTGGGCTTATGTCAGAGCTCAGTCATCCCAGCTGTTTCTTACAAACCTTCTCAATTCTCCAAATCATTGCAATCACTGAGAATAATGTTACGTGATCTTGTGATAATGCTATAGTGTCTCTTTAAAATTTAGGATACAGGGGGCTGGAGAGATGGCTCAGTGGTTAAGAGCACTGACTGCTTTTGCAGCGGACCTGGGTTCCATTCCCAGTGCCCACATGGTGGCTAACAACCATCCGTAACTCCAGTTCTGGGGGAATCCAATGCCTTCTTCTGAGCTCCACAGGCATTGCATGATACGGGTGCACTTACACACATGCAGGCAATACACTCATACACATAAAATAAGAATAATAA